CAGAGGTTCTCTGCTACTTCTTTGGTGGGTGGTTAGATCCCCTCCTGCTCTCTAGACTCCTCTAGCCAACTCAAACCTGGAAATCAGAAACCAATGAGTGGTGCAGTGCCCCTGGGGCGAGAAGGAGAGAGGGCTTTGAGGAAGGGGGAGCAAAGGAACAGAGTGGTGCAGGCAGGCAGGAAGCAGCAGTGATTCTCCTCCCTCCCAACCAGCCCCCTTCCCCTCAGCGAAGGTATCGGACTTTACCTGTCTCCTCAACTGCTGCTTCTCTTCTTCCTTTCAGCCTCCTCCACACTCACCAACTTCTCCATTGAAGAAGCACCCCAGGCAGGGCCGGACACGGGTGTTCCTGAGCCTCCTCGGTGCCTCACGGCCCCAACCCCGCGAGCATCCAGACAGCTGAGCAGACGTGGGGCGGCAGTCCTGGCCGCCGGGCAGCCTCGGGGCAGAGGTGCAGGGAGGAAGTCCCGGCTCGGGTTGGGGGGGCAGCCCGGGTCTGAGGGCTCGGAGCAGGGGGCTGCCGCGCTCTGGGCCGGAGGCTCCCACCTACCGGGGAACACGGGAGGTCTCGGAGCAGCGAGGTCCCGGGTCGTACAGGGTCCGAAGTGTCAGCCGCGGGGGCTCCAAGTAGGGGGCTTTCGGGATGCACTTTGCACTGGGCCACCCCCGCCCCCTCCCTCCAGCACTTTGGGGTCACTGGGATGGACCAAGCCTTCAGCAGCCAATCAGCGGCCGCACTAGAGCCTGAGCCTGGAGCCGTAAACCAGGTCCAGGGTGGGTGGAGGTGGGGGGTGGGGCGACTTGGTTGGTTGGTTGCTTCCTTCTCTCCTCCTTACCCCTAGCAGCCCCCACCCCTTGCCTGCCGTAAAGCCTCCTGCGCATTCGCGACAGTTGCAGGAGGCGTGCCGATGGAGGCTGGGACTCATCTCCGATTGGTCTCACTCACTTCCCCGTTGGCTTCCCCCCTGTGTCTTCCGATGCTCCGCCCCAGGCGGAGGGACTCAAAGCGGTTGCTAAGAGACACTGCACGCTGAATGGCGCCTCTACGCATGCGGGAGGAGGGGCCAGCGTGTACCTTCCTTGAACTACGGTGGCCGGAAGGGGCCGGCGTTCGTTCGAATGGCGGTGTGAAGGCAGAGTGGCTGGAACGAGAACCCTGGCAGGTAACTGGGAGCTGCTCCCGAGCTCGGCGGCGGGGGAGGCGTGTGTGCGGCCGAGAGAACGGCCCGGGGGTTCAGGGTTGAGGAGGCGGCAGTCCTCAGGAAGCGAAGAGAGGGGCGCCTTGTCCCGCCGCCCCTCGGCGCTTTTCAGTCGCGTGGTCCTTGGCTTGTCTTTGGATTCCTTAGGCCCCGTTAACCACCAGGCTGGGCTTAACGTGGAAGAGAGGACTGTTTTGGGGGATGGCGGTGACGTTTCAAGGGCTTTTCTACATGGATAGCGACCCTCACGGATTCCTGTGAGTGAAGAAGAGAGTGAAAAACCCGCGAGATGGACGTGTTTGCTAAGTGCATTTATTCCTTTAGCAAGTGTTTCCTGGCCGGGCCCTGTTCTAGCCGTTAGGGAGACAACAATGAACACGATAAGGGCAGTTACTTGGCCATGTGGCCCTTTCTCGTTAACAGGGGAGACAGAACACCACAGAATTAACGGATAGAGGTAGGCTAGATAAAAAAATACCGAGCAGAATAGTGGGATCGAGTTTGACTACGACGTGATGGCTATTTTAGATAGGTCGTCAGCAAAGGTCAATGGGGAAGGGACATTTGAGTAGCGATCTGAATGACGGCGAGCCGGCCATGCTGATATGGGGGGATGGGACCGTGATGCGACCCGCGCACCAAACGAGCGCTCCTGACTCGTCAGCCAGGAGTCTACCGAGAGGGTACCTGGGAGGATTGGGTGGGAGACTGGAAAAGAAGGAGACTAGAGACGAAAGCTGGGGACAGGAGGTCCACCCAATGCTGATAGCAGAGAGTGGCGCCGTTTATTGTTTACACACAGCTTTTATAGCAAAAGTAACTTTCCTGAGGTAGGGGGGTTTTGGGAACTTGAGGGAATAGTCCCCTCCTCCCAGGGAACACCTCCCCCAGGGCTTTCCATAGAGTGTGGGGAAGCAGTCTTCCCAGGGTTAAAGCAAAACACAACAAGCAGAAACTGTTAACAGGATAACATTCCACTCTGTAGCTTTCAAGGCTGTTGGCTGTTTTCTCCTCAGCGGCCAGCCTTCCCACGCTGCTCACCCGGGCCTGAGAGCCTGTCAGCCTGCCGGCTCTCAGGCTTAACCCTTACTGCAAACCTCCAGCTCTCAGGCTTAACCCTTACTGCATGGCTCCCTACAGGACCAGGGAGGAAGTTTGCAGGCAGAGGGAATCAAAAGTACAAAACCTCCTTTGCTGTTTATGGGACCTGCAAGCAAGAAGGTCAGGGTAGTCAAGCAGAGGGAGTAAGGGGCAGGAGGGGGGGGATGGTTGGTAATGTTTTTGGGGTGTAGGACAGGCTATGATCTTGTAGGCCACAGTAGGGAAGTTATCGTATCTTATTTAGGTTTTGAAAAGATCACTGACTGCTCAAAGGAGAAGTCCGGCTGGGAGCCGGGTTACTGCAAACATGGAAGGCTATTGTCTAGGCAAGACTGTCACCCAATACACCAGACATTTGGCTACCACCAGTGTTCTCAAAGAAAGGCCTAGCTAATTATGTAAAAGAAGTAATTTCAGTGTATCAACTGCCTTTGTATAATAAACTATATTGTTTTGTGGCAGGTGGGGCCACTACAAACACTTTCAATTTTCCCCTTGATATTTTTTTGTTGAGGCCCGCTCGACCCACCCGAGGACCCCTGGTTGATCAGGCCAAGAGCCCCCCAAATGGTCCCTGAGAGGATTGGATGGGAGATGAGAAATGAAGAGACACAAAGTGCTGGGGACAGGAAGACCTCAGCCTGCTGGTGGCAAACTGAGGCCTTGTTTATTGGAAAGGCTCTGGTTATATAGGCAGTATGTTCCTTTTTGTGTAGGGGAATTTAGCAGGGGGTTTCAGCAGGGGGCTTTGGGTGTAGGCGTACAGAAACCAGGAACTAGGGCCGAAATCCCCTAAGCAGTGGGTCCATAGTGAAACTGTAAATAAGCCTTGCAGTGGGCTCTGCGGTTGGCTTGCTGTGGGAATGGATACTTTTGGGAGTGTCTAAGCCTTGTGTGTGCAGTTACTAAGCAGACTCTCTTATCCAGCCACTCCTTTAGGCATAGAGTCCTGCATAGAGGTATGTAGCACTTTGCCACAGCCTCAGTATCCCCTACTGTCCTCAATTGGCTCCCAACATTTTTTTTTACACTGTTATTTATTCAAGAATCCTCATTTTGGTGCCTCCGGCATGAGCTACCTATCCACTTACGTAGGCAAACTGGGCTTAGTCCTGCCCAAGGAAGCTCATAGTCTAGTGTGAACCAAACTAGAAAATAGTTATGGACAGTGCCGTGAGATAATTACTGTAATATAGGCTGAGAGTATTTGGCAGGGCCCCCAACCCTGGCTTACCTATATGGAAGGCTTCAAGGAGAGTGGAGATTTCCAAGTTGAAGGCTGAGAGTGGGAGGGAGAAAATTGAGTATGATTTAAGCAGAAAGAATGGACTAAGCAAAGCTTTGGGAAAGAACTCCAAGAAAGCCTGGAGCTTAGTTTTTTGTGTCACTGAGGTTTCTCACACCCAAGAGTCAGATCTTGAAGGGCCTGCTAAGCCATGTTCAGGGGTTTGAACTTTATCCTAAGGAAAGTGGAGAGGTTATTCAGAAGGAAGTGGGTGTGGAGTGGGCCAAGAACTAACCATTTAGCAAGGAATCTGCGGCAGTGTCCAGGATAGATGTGTACTGCAGTAATTGCCTAGAAGGTGGAGAGAGGTGGTGAGGAAGGGTCCAGGAAGATGGCTAAGTTTCTAGCTTGGGTGCCTAGGAGATACAGATGCCATACGTTGAGATATGGACAGTGTAGGAGGAAACAAGTGTAAGAGGCCATAGAATGAGTTGAGTTTGTGCTGAAGGTGCCTGTGGGACCGCCACGTGGAGCTCTCCAGTGACATTTAGTGCTTGAGTACAGAACCCAAACACAGCTAGACACTAACTGGATTCTGAAGTCATTAGCATGGAGATTACTGTAGCATTGTAATATAGTGTGGAATCTGGAAGCTCATGCCTCCAGCTTTATTCTTTCTCTAGGTTGCTTTGGCTATTCATGGTATTTTCTGGTTCCATGGAAATTTTAGGATCGTTCGCTCCATTTCTGTGAAAAATGTTATTGGAATTTTGATAGGGATTGCATTGAATCTGTAGATTGCTTTGGGTAATATGGACATTTTAGCAATATTAACTCCTCCGATCCATGAACGTGCAATAGCTTTCCATTTATTTGTGTCTTCTTCAATTTGTTTCATTAAAATCTTGTTCTATACAGGTCTTTCACCTGCTTCGTTAAACTTATTTGTGGGGAGCCATGGTTACAGGTAATTCAGAGCCTTACAGACTGGCTCAGTTAATGCTTAACCTGTTTCTGCTCCTAAGGCATTGTCTCTGCCTGCACCTGGAGGGTGCTTACAAGTTGCTGAGGTATGTGGTGAGGATGGCCAGTTCCTTAGGAGACACTATAGATAGATGGCTATCTGGGTTAATGGAAGAAAGTGTCCTGAGAAGCTGACCCCCTAAGGTCCCTCTGATCTTTAAGTCTCCAGTAGATAGTTAATGATCTGCTTCTGAATGAGGTAATGCGTAGTTGTCCCTGCAGTATTGCACGTACTCAAACTGCATAGATTGGTGATGAGAAATAAACTCGGGGCCTCAGCATCACTGAAGACCGGCCGCATCAGCAGTTGTGTGAGTGTCTCTTTATTCATTCCCGCTCCCCCCTTCAGGTACTGATCGACTTGTGGTGGCTGGCCCGCCATACTTATTCACAGGTATTTTCTTCTTTTAGATGCAATTATAAACAAGTAAATAAGATTTTCTTAATTTCTCCTTCTGATATTCATTATTTGTGTATAGAAATGCAACAGGTTTTTATATATTGATTTTATATCCTCCAACTTGACTGAATTTGTTAATTCTAACATTTTTTGGGTGGTCTTTAGGGTTTTCTATATATATAATATGTCATCTGCATATAATAACAGTTTTACTTCTTTCTTTTTAATTTGGATGCCTTTTATTGCTTTTTCTTGCTTAATTGCTCTGGTAGGACCTCCAATACCACATTGAGTAGAAGTGGTGAGAGTGGGCACATTTTTCTTGTTCCTTATCTTAGAGGAAAAGCTTTTCAGTTTTTCACCATTGAGTGTGATGTTAGCAACGGGCTTGTCATATATGGCCTTTATTATGTTCAGGTATGTTCCCTCCTTACCCACTTTGTTAAGAGTTTTTATGATAAACAGGTGTTGAATTTTGTGAAATGCTTTTTTTCCTGTATCTGTTGAGATGATCATATGATTTTTTATCCTTCTTTTGTTAATGAGGTGTATCACATGCACAGATTTGGGGATTTTGAATCATTCACAGTATCCCTGGAATATTCCACTTGATCATGGTGTGTGATCCTTTTAATGCATTGCTGAATTAGGTTTGTTAATATTTTGTTGAGAATTTTTTCGTGTATGTTCATCAGCTATATTGACCTTTTCTTTTCTTGTGGTGTTTTGGTCTGCTTTTGGTATCTGGGTAATGCTGACCTTGTAAAATGAGTTTGGAAGTATTCCTTCCTCTTTTGATTTTTTGGAAGAGTTTAAGAAGGATTGGTGTAATTTTTTTTCTTAAATGTTTGGTAGAGGGCCGGCTGAGTGGCTCAGTTGGTTAAGAGCTCGCTCAAGAGTTTGAGCTCTGAGCAACAGCGGTTCGAGTCCAGCCCGAGCTGAGCAGCCGCTGAGCTGCCAACAGGTAGCAGGATGGCTCAGCTAAAAAAAAAAAAAAATTTTTTTTTGGTAGAATTCACACTGAAACCATCTGGTCCTGGACTTTTGAGTATTGGGAGGTTTTTGATTACTGATTCAATCAATCTTAGTAGTAATTTGTTCAGATTTTCTGTTTCTTCATGATTCAGTCTTGGGAATGTTCCTAGGAATTTATTTCTTCAAGGTTGTCCAGTGTGTTAGCATAGAAAATCATATTTAAGCTTAAAACAAAAGGAAAAGTAGGTGGAAGAGCTTTCTAGGCAGAGGGAACAGCATTGTATCAGGGTCCAGAGTCAGGAGCCTGTCAGAGTGAATCAAAGAGTACTGGCATCCTCTTACTTAAGTTGTATAAATGTTTTCACCATAAAGCCCTGCACTTGCTCAAATCTTTTAGTGTGTGCTACTTTGCTGAGGTAGGGTAGGTAACCTTACTTTTCAACAAAATCAAATCATTTTTGTGTGTACAGTATTCAAAATTCAAGAGTTCAGGGCCGGCCGAGTGGCGCGATGGTTAAGAGCTGGCTTGGGATGCCAGAGGGCCCCGGTTCGGATCCCACATATGAGGGCCAGTGACACTGCCCTCTACAGCTAAGATGCTGAACAACAGCTCAACCTGGAGCTGGGCTGCCGTGAGTCGCCGGCGACGGCGTAGGCTGCAGCCCCTGCGGCAGTGGGTTGCCATGGGCTACCGTGTGTAGCCAGCAGCCAGCGTGAGCGGCCAGCAGCCGCAGTGAGCGGCCGTCCAGAAGCCGGCGACTGATCTGCCTCGCCCGGGAAGAGCGCAACGATGGTGCCAACTTGGGCCAGTGAAGCAACATCCTCCACAACTAGACTGAAGAACAAGATGACAGCAACTTGTCTGTTCCCCTTCCTCCAATTCCCTAATAAAAAAATCTTTAAAAAAAAAAAAAAGAGTTCAGTAAAATCTAGGTAGTACTATTGTCACATTTGTAGACAATTAAACGCTACCCTGGCACTGGTGGTGGGTTTGTTGCTGTTTTTTTGGGGGGGTGGGCGTGTGGAGAGGAGCAGGAGGAAGAGCAGAAGGGACATCGATTGGTGGAGGGGAATGAGTGAAGAAACATGTTATTCTGAAGCATCACTTAAAATATAGAACCATGTCTTAACTAAGTGTAGAAAAGTTTTGTATTTTATATTGATATGCTAGAGATTTTCTGTTTAAACAAATTCTTAGCATTAACATGATAAACCTAATGAAGTCAGATTCCTTATCAGTAAAATTGAGTGGATGGGTCAGTGGTTATCAAAGGGTAATTCCCAGTCCAATTCTTGGGCCCTCCCCAGACTCACTGAATCACAATTTCAAGGGCTGAGCCCTGCATTGTGTTCTAACAAGCCTCCCAAAGGATTCTGAAGCTAGAGTTTGAGAACCACTGGTCTAGATCATCTCCGAGATTTTTTCTCTGGTACTAAAACGCTCTGATTCTAATGACCAGCATCAGTCTCTGTACTGTGGTGTGGAGATCAAATTGTGAGCAGGTGGGCCGCAAGCTGGAAAAGCTGCAGGCCTTCATGTCTGGGAGAGCAGTTGGAGAAATAGTTCTACCTGACAACAACTGACAAAACCCCTGATTCCTGTGCCGTGCAAAGAAAGAGGAACGGCTAAAGACCACCCAGTGTTCCTAATGACTATGCCAGAAAACACCTGATGCTTCTGGTGACAGCATAACCCACCACAGCCTTGTTTACAGTTTCTATTTGCATATTGTTAAGTTTCTCTTTACATATGTAACCATGCTTGGGTCCCCAAAATCCCCTTACCAATAATTTGCCTAATAGGGAATTGATCCCTACAGAGAGGAAATTGCTTCCTCAATATAAGCTTGTTGCAATCAATAAATGGGGTCACTTGCTCAGCGGCCAGCTGTGTCACTTGCTCAGCAGCCAGCGGGCAAGTGGACCTCCTGACCCCAGCTTTTGTCTGTCTGTGTCTTTCTTTTCTTAGCCCTCACCACAATCCTCTCAGGATAGACCCCTGGCCGATGCGTCAGGATCGGCACCTGGCTTACGAGTCAAGCAACCCCTGTTCTCTCGTTTGGCGAGCGGACCTCATCGTGGCACCCGAACAGGGACCTGAGCATGGATTCATGGCAGACTTAGGGTGAGGAGACGCCCTTGGTGTCAAGGTGGCCGCCGATACACTGTGGAGGTAAGGGGGAATAAGAATTGGGAGTAAAACTTGGGACATTCAGGGTCAAAGGACCATCAGCTTTTTGTACATAGCTTTGACTAGTACGGAAGCTTAAGGTAGGCATTTTAATACACAGCATATTAACCCATTTGTAAACACGCTTACAGCTATGTTTCGTGCTCCTAGTAGACATGTTTATATGCAACAGCTTGATAGGCAACTGTTAGAACAATTTTGTAGATGTATTCAGGACACATGTCCTTGGTTCCCCGAGGAGGGCACCACAGATTTAGACATTTGGAATAGGGTTGGAAAACAGCTACGCGAACGGTCGGAGCACGTTCCCATAGAGATGATTGCCCTTTGGGGACTAGTCAGGGATAGTCTTAAAGCCAAATTAGAGGCTTTATGCCTCCCTGAAAGACAGTCTCAGTGTCAGGAGTCGCTGCCTCAGAACAGTAGAGAAAGTGAAAGAGATTATAAAGGGCCTCAGGATAAGCCTCTGCCACTTGAGTACTCTCAAGAGCTGGCAAGGGAGGAACAAGAGAGTGATCCTGAGCGAGAAGAGTCCTCCAAGGATTCTCTCGAGGAGGACAAGGAGGAGTCCCTCGAGGATTCCCTCGATGAGGACGGTGGTGAGGAGGAAGAGGACGAGTCAGGCTCTCCTACAGACGCGGCGTCGGTTCTTGCTGCCGGGGTGAGGCAGGAACCCTCTGCCCTGCAGGAGGTGCCTCTTTTCAAGACACATCAGCCATTTCCTTGGCAGGACATAAAGGTAGAGAAAGATAGCGAAGGTTTCCAACAATTCTGCTTCCCCATAGTCGAGTTTCCAGGTCCCAACAACAACCCGGGACAAATATTTAGGGAACACAAACCTATTCCTTTTGAGATGTGTGAGGAGTTAAAAACAGCGGTCTCTCAATATGGGCCAACCTCACCTTTCACTTTGGCGTTGCTTGAGACCATCTCCAATGCGCCACTTACACCTTACGATTGGCAAATGTTAACAAAAATGTCACTAAGTGAGGAGCATTATTTACTCTGGGAGTCCGAGTTTGCGGACCGATGCCATCAGCAAGCAGAGCAAAATGCCATCCACCAGGTCGCCATTACGGCTGAAATGCTTATGGGTGAAGGGAGATTTTCAGATTTGCACAACCAGCTAGGATATAATCTACAGGCTTACCAGCAAATTAACATCTGTGGTATTAATGCCTGGAGAGCTCTTCCCACTGCGGCAGCGAAAACAGAGGATCTATCCGATGTTAAACAGGGTTCCGACGAGCCATATCAGGAGTTCATCTGCAGACTCTTGCAGGCCATACATCAGCTCGTCGGTAATACAAGGGCAGGACAGATTCTCACCAAACACCTAGCATTTGAAAATGCCAACCCCATCTGCAAATCTTTACTTCGACGATCTAAAAGGACAGGAAGTATAACAGATTTTATTCGCCTCTGTGCCGAAAAGGGAAACAGAAACCAATCCAAACACCTTCATTACTCTTACAGTCAGCCAGGCCTCGCTAGGGAGTGCACCTCTAGAGCCCCCCAAAAGGCGTCTACGGCAGGCGGACCTGTCCGTCCACAGGTTCGCGTTCCTGGGATCTGCCCCAGGTGCCGGCGTGGAAGACATTGGGCGAATTTATGTAGATCAAAATTTACCATCGATGGACAGTACATTGCAGAAGGCCCCAAGCAGGGTCAGCCTCTGCCCAACGAAAGAATGGGGGTTCCATCACCAACACCTCCTTTAACTGTAAACAGTCCATTTAACATCAATGGACCATACAAGGACTTCAGTTTTTCCTTGGAGTTGTTAAATTATGACTGATCTATTAAAAAAGGGGCCAGTTGTGGTTTAAAGCAAATTACACATACCCACTGATCTCTCAGAAATCAATTAGGAAAACTGTAGGGGAGAAAGATATAGATACTATCATCACTTCCCAAAATTTCAGCATTTCAAATTTAATTTCAACATTTCACTAACGGATGCTCACGGCCAGCCTGACCATGAGGGGGATAGCTTTAAGTCCAGACCCCGACGACCTCATCTTGGGGGCACCCAATTTAGGGGTCAGTCACAAGATTGTTAAATCTCAGCAATTTTTGTCACCTCACTCACAGCATAATATTAATACACCAGGAATTGAGGGAAAATATACATTAAAAACTCATTTCTCAATAAAAATTTAAATGCTCTCCATAATTAGGACATTGTCTATCACCACAGTAAAAAATAGCCTAAAATTCTCTATTCTCTATCAATCTTAAATCCTCCTTATCCACCAATCTTCCAAAAATTCAATTAATAAAACAAAAAGGGGGAGACTATAGGTATTCTTGGTTACTAAGACTATAACAAAAACCTTTAATCCTTAATTTTTAAAATTTCAAATTTACAATTTCTTTTCAACAGTCTTTTCCAAAGGACAGTGTTTATTTAACAAGGACTAGCTTTGTTCCTTGGGTGCTTGGGGGGAGGACAAGAATATGTTTTCCCTAGGTACGCTCCTAATTTAAGGGACATCATGCAGCCGGTGGTCCAAAAGGACGAGGGAGAGTAAAACTTCTCCATCAGGCCAACTCAAAACAGACAAGCTCTTTATAGCCATGCTTGCAATCCTGGTTTGCCAGGTAAGTATGGTTCAAGGGGAAACTTATTGGACCTATTATCCCAATCCTCCAACGCTTGTTCCCATAACTTGGGAAGACCGGCCAATCATGGTCTGGGTTAATAGTTCCGTTCCAATTGGAGGAACGATTAAAAATATAAAACCTCAGAGGACAAATTTCAATTATGTGGGCTTAACCCATACCACTCCAATTTGTGCCTCGGAGGAAAATATAACAGGATGCCTTGTTTTAAGTATATTCTACATCCAATCCAGTGATTCTTCAAAATTAGGCTATATGGCCCCAACCTCAGGCCTACTAAAAAATTACACAGTACAAACAGAGATTTGGAGACTATGGGCAGCTTCAAATGCCATGACTTAACATAAATAGTACAGCTGCTGGATATGACTCAGGGGGAGCTCTATATTCAGTCACCGCCTATACAGGCCCCTGAAGTCATACTGGTTGGGGATTTACAAATTAACAAAGTTCAGTCCATATATAACATTTCTTGTCAAAATTGTCATCTTACAAATTGTATAGATCCGAAAGACAGAGGACGCAGTATCCTAGTCCTTCGTCAACCTCCATATATTGTAATTCCAACCACTATCGAGGGACCCTGGTATGATGATCCAGGGACACAAGCCTTCGAAGAAATAAAAAATGGTCTAAGTCGAGAACAACGGGTAGTCAGACTCATCATAGCTGGCTTAGCAGCAATTATTTCGCTCGTAGCTACTGCAATCACAGCCGCTGTATCCTTAACCAATTCTATCAAAACAGCAGATTATGTTGAGCAACTTGCTAAATACCACTTCAACTTTTCACACCCAGGAAAATATAGATACAAAAATGGAATTAAGACTTAATGCTTTAGAGATGCTATTGTAAAGATAGGAAATGAGGTTGAAGCCATATGCCAACAACTTGCCCTTCGATGTCATGCTAAGTATTGGAAGGTGTGCATAACCAGACATCGGTTCAATAACATACAGTGAGATTGGGATAACATCCGCAATCACCTTCAGGGCATTTGGCATAATTCAGATCTCAGCATCGACCTTCAACAACTTCACCTACAAATTGTCAATATACAGGATAGCAAGCTAGAAATTACTAATTCAGAGGATTTGGCTAATGATTTAATAACAGTTTTCCAGGGTTTCAAACCAATTTCCATCCCTCAACTCATGTCTTGGATCCTATTGGAACTGTAATTCTCTTGCTACTAATCTTATGCTTACTTTCAGTCCGCACCAAAATCGTTAAAGCCCGTCTTCGGGCCACCAACACAAAAGCTCATTGCCTACAGCTACTGGCCAGGGAAGGGATGGGACCACTGCTGTCCCGAAGAAACATCAGACATCAGCGTTAGGATTGCTGACCGTCTCCACGATGCTTATCCCATAATTGACATGCCATCTTCAATTTCTGCTCATGCTCCATACACGCCTCAGGCTTGGCCCCGTAAGATGGCTGGTTAGTCAATGACGGGTAAGATCTCTCGAAGAGGGACAACCTAAGACAGGCACAGTCGCCGTGGGGCCAGCCTTGGCCTAAACACACTCAGCCCTTCTAATAAATAAGGGGGAGATGTGGGGAGCAAATTGTGAGCAGGTGGGCCGCAAGCTGGGAAAGCTGCAGGCCTTCATGTCTGGGAGAGCAGTTGGAGAAATAGTTCTACCTGACAACAACTGACAAAACCCCTGATTCCTGTGCCGTGCAAAGAAAGAGGAACAGCTAAAGACCACCCAGTGTTCCTAATGACTATGCCAGAAAACACCTGATGCTTCTGATGACAGCATAACTCACCGCAACCTTGTTTACAGTTTCTATTTGCAGATTGTTAAAAGTTTCTCTTTACATATGTAACCATGCTTGGGGAATTTTGGTCCCCAAAATAATTTTCCTAATAGAGAATTGATCCCTACAAAGAGGAAATTGCTTTCTCACTATACTTTGCCTAATAGGGAATTGATCCCTACAAAGAGGAAATTGCTTCCTCAATATAAGCTTGTTGCAATCAATAAATGGGGTCACTTGCTCAGCAGCCAGCGGGCACGTGGACCTCCCGACCCCAGCTTTTGTCTGTGTGTGTCTTTCTTTTCGTAGCCCTCACCACAGTCCTCTCAGGATAGACCCCTCACCAATGGGTCAGGATTGGCACCTAGCTTACGAGTCAGGCAACCCCCATTCCCCCGGTTGACAAGTGGGTCTCGTCACTGTGGAAACAAGTTTGTCTGGGCAAGATTCACGTGAGGGTGTTCTGTTGATCAGGTTGTGAAATGCTGCCATCCTTCTGTTATGCCAGGCTTCTGAGAACAAAATTATGTCATCACTTGTCTAAACCAGCCCAGGCTACTTGTGAATGTATCGCCCAGCCCGGCATTGATTCCTGCATCCGGGCCAATGAAAGGCCAACTAGGATGCCCTAGTCAGTTTGTTGAGATGAATGTGACCTTGTGCATTTTCCCATCTTTGACACTGCGCCCTGACCCCCTTTCAGTAAACAGGTGCTTACTACATTTTTGACCAAGAGTCTGGCATTGCAGCATTATTTACAGGAGCCAAGATACATAAACAACCTAAGTGAACAGCAACAAAGACTAAGTAGTCACAAGCACTGAGATTAGACTTCCTGGCTTCAAATCCTGACTCTGCCACTTAACTAGCTCTGTAGCCTAATCTTTTTGTGCCTTAGTTTCCTTATCTGTAAAATGGGTGTGATAAGTAACCACCACCCACAGGTGCTGTGAAGGTATTACTTAGCATAGTGTCCGGAACATAATAAGCACTCAATAAAATTTAGCGATTACTCCTAAAGGGTTAATTTTAAGTGAAGATGGTTGAGAAATGTATTGGGGTTTTTTTGTTTTGTTTTGTTTTTAAAGATTTTTTTTATTGGGGAATTGGGATGGGAACAGTGCTGTGGAATTGGGGGGTGGGGAACAGACAAGTTGCTGTTGTTTTGTTCTTCAGTCTAGTTGTGGAGGACATTGCTTCACTGGCCCAAGTTGGCATCATCATTGCGCGCTTCCTGGGCGAGGCACATCAGTCTCCGGCTTCTGGACGGCCGCTCACGGAGGCTGCTGGCCGCTCACACTGGCTGCTGGCTATATACGGTAGCCCATGGCAACCCACTGCCACAGGGGCTGCAGCCTACGCCGTCGCCGGCGACTCACAGGAGCCCAGCTCCAGGTTGAGCTG